ACAGCAGCTCTGTGCTAGCCACTGTTCTGTGAATAGAATCGTGGGTAGCTCAGGAACAGTGTTCGCTTCTTAATACATCAGCTGCAGGAATGGGGCAGACTGCCTGTGGATCAGTCCGTTTCCTCCCCGGCCCCACTAGGCACCATTGACCCCAGAGCAGCTCCGGGCAGTGGAGAGCATTGTGCAGGAGGCCGTGGGGCAGGATAAGGCTGTGTACATGGAGGAAGTGGCCCTGGCACACACTGCCCATGTCCCTGGCCTGCGCTCTCTGGATGAGGTGAGTTGGGTGAGCCCCCTTAGGTGAGCCCCCCTAAGATTGGCCTCCCCCTCACACACAGGCCAATTTAAAGACCTGTCTCTTCTCACCCACAGGTATACCCAGACCCAGTACGGGTGGTGTCAGTGGGGGTGCCTGTGGCCCATGCACTGGACCCGGCCTCCCAAGCTGCACTGCACACTTCTGTGGAGTTGTGCTGTGGGACGTGAGTCACCGCTTCTGACTGCCCTGGGGTTGGATCCTCACCTTTCTTTGGTCATTGAAGCCACCAGCCCCTGGTTTGGAGCTCAGGCTGCTCTTTTCTCTCCCATCACCCCCCCTGACTTCTTCCTCCTTCCTTCTGCCCATAGGCACCTGCTACGCACGGGGGCTGTAGGGGACCTGGTTATCATCGGGGAGCGCCAGCTCGCCAAGGGCATCACCCGCCTGCTGGCTGTCACTGGAGAGCAGGCCCAGCAGGTCGGCACACCAGCAGGGCCCAGGAGGCTGCTGAGTGTGGATGGGGGCGGGGGGCACACACAGCTGACGGTCTCAGGCTAGGGGAAGCCCAGCAGCAGAACCAGTGTTCGTGCATGTGCACGGATATGGCCATACCAGCTGCTGGCATCTATTGTGATTATTTGGTACCTTGATTGGTCCTGATTTTTAAAAACTTCTAACTTGGCCCCAAGCAGCAATGGGTTGAGAGTCCCCAAAGTAAGCTGAGCAGCCCTGACCATCCTGTTCCCCTGCTGCAGGCCCGAGAGGTGGGCCAGAGCCTGGCCCAGGAGGTGGAGGCAGCTGCAGAGCGGCTGAGTCGGGGCAGCCGGGACGTGGTGGAGGCTCAGCGGCTGTCCAAGGACATGGGACGGCTCACTGATGTGAGGGCCACCCCAAAATGGAGCTGCGCCCCCATCCTGCCCCCGTGTCCTGGCCCCGTGCCCTTCCCCATGCCTCCCCGGACCCTTCAAGTCCCTCCCTGGCATTCCTATTGGACCCCAGCTGGCCCACATGTTTGTCATTTGTCAGCAGGGTGGGATGTCGTGGGTGTAGTCTCTTCCCTGGCCCTGTTGGTCCCTGCCTCAGAGGGGAGGGGGGAGGGCAAGGATGATGGACTGCTTGTGGCCACAGGCTGTGGACACCTCTGTGATGCCCCAGTGGCAGCGGCGGGAGCTGCAGGCCACACTAAAGGTGCTGCAGCGGCGTGCCAACACTGCTGTCCGGAAGCTGGAAATGGGTCAGGTAGGAGGGGGCCGATACCAGGCACACCCAACAAGGGTCAGAGACACTCTGGTGCGCACACCGAGAAGCCGCCAGGCCTGGCAACACCTCCCTCTCCTGCCAGCTGGATGCCATCACCTGGCATCCCTACTTCTCTCTGCCAAACTATGTCTCCCCAGCTCCCAAATATGCCTCAGGCTTTTCCTCCAGGAAGCTGACTGACTTGATTACTCCATTCAGCCCTAATTACTCCTTGTCTGTGCATCCTCCTTCCTCCTGCCCCCTCTCATCCATCAGCGCTCCAGCCTTCGCCCTTTCACCTTCAGCAACCTATTTGTAGGGTCCTGGAGCTAAGATGACAGGTAATAGGTGAAGGAGAGGAAGGACACAAGTGGGACCCAAAAGAAGGAGGCCATTCTAGGCAGAACTCCCGGCCCCTCTGCTCAAAGCTGAAGACCTTTGCTGGGGGGTGGGGGTGATTTCTGAACTGGGCCTGAGTTCAGAAGCGGGGGCCAGTTGCCCTCCAGCCTGACCCTGTGCTGCCCTTCCTTCTCCACAGGCTGCACAGAAAACCCAGGAGCTGCTGCAGCGGCACTCACAAGAGCCCCTGATTGTGGACACAGTTTCCACTGAGTCCCTCTCAGTGAGTTATTGGGGTTGGTGGAGTGGCCCCAGGGTCTGGGAGGGGAGAGTCCTGACAGGGAGGTAGCTGGGAGTCTGGGGCTATGGGGTCACGACCCGCCCTCCCTTGCTCAGGTGCTGGTGAAGGTGGTCCGGCAGCTGTGTGAGCAGGCGCCCAGCACGTCCGTGCTACTACTCAGCCCCCAGCCCACGGGGCATGTGCTATGTGCCTGTCAGGTGGCCCAGGTGAGGGAAGGGGGAGAGCAGCCCCCCACACCACCCATCTCCTGATCCAGCCCCCTAATTCCACGCCTTTTATTCCTCCCAGACAAGGGAGGCAAGGCTGGGTAGAGGTGATCTATGAGGACACCCCAGGATGGGGATAAGGCCACCTTCTTGTCCTTAACCACCCGAGAGGGTACCATGAGATTCCCTATTTACCAGCACCCCCCTCCAGAATGCACATCCTTGCAAACAAGTAGCAGATATCCATCAGCCTCCACACACATCCCCAACCCAACCCTCGCCTGTCTCCACCCGATTGCCCCCACCGTGTGCCCGGCTGGGGAGGGGTTGCTAATCCCAGTGACACCACTCTCGGGTACACTGAGAAGATGGTGGCAGAGAGGGCTGCTCTGCATTGCTGCCCCTTCTGTTTCTGTCCAGAGTGCCACGCCGGCCTTCACAGCAGAGGCCTGGGCACTGGCCGTGTGCAGCCACATGGGGGGCAAAGCCTGGGGCTCTCGAGTGGTAGCCCAGGGCACCGGAAGCACTGCTGACCTGGAAGCTGCCCTCCGTACAGCCCGAGCCTATGCCCTCAACCAGCTCTGACCCAGGGACTCATACAGACTAAAGAGACAGCAGACGGGCCAGTGCCCGGAGCCCTGGAGGAGTCAGCAGCAGCTCCCCGAAGCTGAAGCAGAGGACTGGAGGCTGCAGGCCAAGCAGCTGGTGAAGAGGCCACCCCGGGCTGCTTGGACACAGGCGTGGACACAGAGATGTGGGCTGGCAAAGGCAGAAGTCAGCCCAGAGACACACCTGTACTAGGTGAATGTGAAAATGTGGGCTTGATTGCTCATTAAAAGTATTTCACAGAGGCAAGGAAGTTCCAGAAGCTTCTTTTTGCTTAAAAAGCAGACTTTCCCCTCCCAGCAACCTGGTATGGGTGCCCCCTCACCAGTCTGATTCCCCCCTCACACTGGGCTGAAAGACCAGCCAGCATCCACATCAGGACCATTCTCATCACGAGTTCTCGGTCAGGCTCTCTATGCCAGCCAGTTCTGGGCACCCACAGAGGCCTCCCTGGCTGCCAAGATCCAGAACTGCCTTGTGCAAGTCAGTACAGCAGGGCAGATCCTCTTTGGTGTCACTTATTTCTTTAACGATGACTTGTCTTACCGAAGGCCCTGGTGATTTGTTGATAAAATGAGTAACAGATACGGTCAGTTGCTGAGAATGTGGCAAGAGCCAAACAGACACAACTTCCTGCCCTTGTGGAGCTTACATCTGGTGGGGAAACAGGCAATAAAGAGGAGAGGGTGTCAGAGGTGATGAGCTCTATGGAGAAAGAGCAGCCTGGGGATCAGGTGGGTGGGGTGGTGGTATTGCCTCACTGAGGTGGCATCTAAGGGGAGGGTGTGAGCCACATGGCTATCTGAGGGAAGAGCTGTCCAGACTGAGGGAACAGCCAGTGCAGAGGCCCTGAGGGGGAGGAAAGCAGGCACAGCATGCTGGGAGAGTGGCAGGTGATGGGGTCAAAGAGCAGGAACCAGAGTGACTCGACTCTGCACAGCACGTACCCCACGCCTGAGCTGAAGCTGAAAATTGGCAGCTCAGAGCAGGAGGAAGCCCAAGGATAGAGGGCAGCCCTCCGTCCCTACCAGGACCTATCCAGACCAAGTTAGACGCCGGAGCTCCACCTCTGTTCCCAAATCCCTGTTGCTAGATGCAGGAAAGGACCTCAGGGGACTCATCTTCAAGTCAAAGGCTCCCTGTCTACTAAGTTCTGGGGCTGTTTCATTGAAATTATTAGAGCAGAGCAGGTCCTCCTGGCATCGTTTCCTGCACAATTTCTCATTCTAATGGAGGCACCTGTGATTTGTTGGTAAATCACATGAGGGCTTAAGAAGGACCTGAATCCCCGGTGCCTGGCCCTGACTGCTTGCTCAGCTCTGTGAAGTTTGCAAAGCTTTACCTCAAGATCTTGGTAACTGCAGCTCACCAAGGGCCTGGCTCTTTGAACACATGGACGCTATGGTGAGAAGTTGTACTCCCATTTACTGATGAGTTAACCAAGCTTCTGAGACGTTAACTTACCCAGGGTAACCAACTAGTAGAGTTGACCCTGAGCAGTGCAGGGAGCAGGGGTAGAGGCACCAACCATCCTTGCAGTTGAAATCCATGAATAACTTAAATCAGCCTCCTGCATATGCAGATTCCCAGCCACAGGTCAAAAATACATAATCATCATTGGCAGAGCTGAAATTAAAGCTAAGCTCTGCCTCCCTGGGAAACTTTCCACCACCCTGGTTGCCTCTCCCCTCCTGAAGGACAATTTCTGTTTCTTCCTAGCCAACCCCTTGAAGTTGGTCGTCCATGCCCCTCAGGGACACCAACCACATCCTGTCACTCAAAGCTAGGGGGGTGGGGGCACCACATCCTGTCACCCAGGGCTGGGTTGGGGGCCACCAGGCTTGGGACTGTGTGAAGGAATGCTGTGGATGCTGGAACCTTCCTACCTAGTGCCAGACATCAAATCAGCCTTGTTTACATCTTAGAGAAAGGTGGAAGGTGCCACTCTGCAGGGATGCCGCAGCCCACAGCTCTCCTGCAGGGCCTGGTGTCAACAGGAGGCCTCGGGAGTTCCAGCAACTCCCGCAGGTGCCCTTCCACCCCAATCATCTTCCAGAAGAGACTGATTGCTCATGCTTCTCCCGGATCTTCCTAACACTCGCCACCCCCACTCGCATTTCCACACAAAACGTACCAAGAAGGAACAGCACTCCAGGAGTCCTACCCGGGTCTCCCATTTCTCACCTTCCCCCCCCAAAAGCCCGTTCATAAGCATGTCCTCCAGAAGCACAAAGCACGCCTCATGGCTAGAGAGTTCCCACTGCCCGCACAGCAGCCCTGCACAGAGACCCTACACAGCGCAGGACAAATGTCCTTGCATCAACCCCTTGCCAAAGCTTGTAATGACAACCGCCCAAGGACAGCCCTGCAAGCCTGCACCGCACCCGTCGGACACCTGGTGCGCACACGAGGGGACACGCGCATGTGCAAGCCGGCCTTCGGACCCGCCCCCTGGAGACGCCGTGCTTCCATAACGACCGGTGGGGGCTGCGCGGAGGCCCTTCAAGAAGGCGAGCGCCTGGGTACCAGGAGCGGGTGAGGTGACCTCCGGGAGAAAGAACACTCAACCCTGGTTCTCCCCTGTCGGGCTGAACTCTGCCTGCCCCCACTCTCGCCCGCGGGACGCCCTCTGCTCACCCGCAGAAGGCCACAGTCTTGGCTCCCACATTTCGCATGGCGGGGTAGGGCCGGTCGGTACCTGCAGAAAGCCCTCCACCCCCATCCATTTGAGCCAGACCCCTGCCTCCTCCCCAGCCACAGTCCCTGTCTGCAAACCGGCCCAGAGGATTGGGTTTGCGAGTAAGGGGAGGCGGAAGGGGTGGGGAGGGAGCCTTAAGAAGGAGGAAGGGAAACGTGGGGTGTCAGGTAGAGCAGGTCATGGAGAGCAGCCCTAAGCCCTGGGCCCCAGTCTTCTCAGGAAGGCTGACCACACACACACACACACACACACACACACACACACACACACACACACACACTTATCTATGTCAACAGCACAGTGCTGTTAGGGGCAGAGGTGGTGTCTACATGAAATCGGTGTCCCAATAAAAGCATTAGACTCTCCTATAGAAAGTAACCATGCTATTTTCCTCTGTATTTACCTGACACAATAGAATATTGCATCCTATTGTGGTCCATGATGTTTTGGGTTTGATTTTTGGTCTTTGGTTTTCTTAATGCAATTGTGACTGTGTTAGGGAGGTTGCTAAAAAGTGTACCATAAATTATTAAGAGCATGAAAAATAAGTCTTGTGAAGAAAAGTTGTAATGATTGGAAGAAAGACAAGACTAACAGATGACTGAGTNCTAGTCAGTTCCTGGTCTGGTCCTCAGTTTCTTCACCCATAGAGTAGGGCTAAGAGGCCTGCCCTGCCTCCATTGTAGAGTGCTTGTAAGACTCAGGTCATGGAGAGCAGCCCTAAGCCCTGGGCCCCAGTCTTCTCAGGAAGGACACACACACACACACACACACACACACACACACACACACACACACACACACACACACACAGCTCCTGCGGGCTGCAATCCCTCCTGCAGGTCCAGAAGCTTCCGCACCTCCCACAGCACAGCGGGGCTGGTGTGCCTTGGTTACCAAGGAGAAGCACGGGCCTCATCACCCTAGGTGGGTCGGGGGAGGGACTCGCTGGCCTTTGGAGCTGAGCTTCCCCGCTGGGGTGTCTAAGCCGAAGGTAGGCATGAGGAGTGGAGAGACAATCCGCTGGAGTACTTCTTAAGACAACAGACTTAAGTGGACAGGAGTGGGAGGCGGGCCAGGCCCAGGGCTCTGAGAAGTGTGCTTGTTTCACTCACCAGAGACCATGCAAGCTGAGCCTGGACTCAGACAGAGAAACTTTTTTGCCCTTCATTTGTGATTCCACAAATTGGGAACTCCCAAATGGGAATTTGGTAGTAACCTGGCCTGAGGTAGGATCTGGCATGATGGGCATTGAAAGAGACCAGGGAAATGCAGACAAAAGCCCAAGGCCTTGAGGACAGATGCCTGAGGTGAAGGCGAGTCTGGGCAAGAAGGCATGGGGAGAACCAGAGAAGTGGATGGGGAGGGCAGGAGCTCTGTGGGAGACTCTGGCAGGCAAGCCCATCAGAGTGGCCAGGGGCACAGAGGTGCTCATGGGCCTAAAGAGGGCCAGAGACTTCAGCTTCTTGGTTCAAAAGAGGGAAGTGAGGACAACTGAGGACCAGGGGTGTGATGAGCAAAAAAAAGGCGAGGGCTTCCTCCAGCATCTTCTTCTTTCCTATTTGTGTAGATGGCAGGAGCCTGTGCCCAACATGGTTAACTGGGAACTTGAGAAGGATGCAGAAGGTCTGAGACCTTCTCTGAGAGGAGGGAATGTGCTAGAGATTCAAGCATTGAATCCTAGGTCTGTGAGGAACACGGAGGGTGGTGTGAGCTGTGGGGCAGGGGAGCACAGCTCTGCAGGATTCTTGTGGGTCCCCATGGGGCCTCAAGCAGAAGGATACAGGCCACAATCCAGTTCTGTGGAAGGACCTTGTACCTGGCAGTGATTTAGGGGGTGAGGGAAGCCTGGGTGGTTCAGGTCAGCACCAAAAGGGGACCCCCCCAGGCTCCACGCTGGTGACAAGAGGAGAGAGCTCATGAGCTAGAGAAAGTGAGCGGTTTACTGGAAAAGTGCTGTGAACAACCAGTCTGGGGCATTTAGGAAGCAGCCCCAACACCTCATTAGTTCTTATGCTTTTGCACACGGAAGTAAGAGAGGACTTCAGACAGACATCAGCTGAAATCTCAGCTTATCCACTTACTAGCTGTGTGACACTTAGCAAGTTACTTAAGCTTTCCTTATTTGTGAGATGAGGATAATACTGTTATAACAACAATAATAATCCTCAACAATAAATGTGAAGATTTAATCAACTTAGCAAGGTAAAGCATCTATAATAATAACATATTCATATAATAGCTAACACATATCTTGAGTGCTGGCCCTGGACCCAGCACGATATGAAATGTCTCACACACGTTAGCTCCTTAATCCTCTAGATAATCCTGCGAAGTAGGTACCATTAATTACCATCTCCATTTATAGATAAAGAAATGGAGGCTTAATGAGGTTAAATGACTTGCCCAAGGTCTCTCAGATGCTAGGGTGCAGAGGGGAGACTTGACCTTAGGCAGCATAACTCCGGGGTCCTTAGCCAGCTGCTACACTGCCTCTTGCTGTGCACATGCTATTGAGGGCCTAGAAGTCAATAAACTGTTGCTCTATATAGGCAAGAATATGGTTCCCAGAATACTTGTCCAGCAGACAGAAGTCATCAAAACTAAGGACAACCCTGGTCAAACTGGGAGCATCTTATCACTTTATATTACCCATGCTTGGGCATGTAGAGAGCAGACCGTAACACCTAACCCTTTGAGTTATGGCCTGAATCTGATTTCAGGACCCTGGACCCTGGTCCTGAGGACACAGAGTGGGGACCTGGGGGGAGGAGGATTGGCCTTTCCCCAAGAATTGTGGTCCTGGGTTGGGTTGGGTTGATGCTGGAGACGTAGCATATGAAGTCCAACAGGCCCATGAGGCAGATGCCAGGAGATGAAAGGCCACTGAGCGTGTCCCCTCTCTCCTCTAAGAGCATGGTGTGCCCTTAGATGAGGACACCAGGTAGTGGCTCAAGAGGCACTCACTGCTGTGGCCCCAACCTTCTCTCTCGAATGTCAGGGAGAATTCCTGCCCCAGAGAAGGACTAGAGTCTTGAACACCCTTCCAGTCTTCAAACTCTGGGGTTCTCTGACTGCCTGGTATGTTCACTAGGGAGAGAAGGCTCCAGAGAGGAAGGTGACCACTCTCCCACTTCTGGGGCTGCCCTCTATGGCCCTTGGGGGCTGTATGGGGACCCCAAGCTCCTGTTTAATGTATATCTACCCATCCCTGCAGGCTTTCAGGAAGGAGAGTGCCACTTACTACCACTCTCAGTTGAAGACTGTTGATGCCCAGACCGGACTAAGGTCACCCTGTGAGGTAGGTCTTCTGCCTTCTTGTTCCTCTGTGGGCCCTCCCCACCTTCTCCCCACTCAGTGTGGTACATTCTCCTTCCCCCTGCCTAACTTTGTTTTTGGATCTGAAACTCATTCACACTGAGGTGTGAATGACTGATAAAAGGAGATATACATATATATATATATATATATATATATATATATGTGTGTATATATATATATTTCATTTCTGTACACTTATACTGTCAGGATAATTTATCAAATGATGTCCACTTTTTTAAAGTTTGCTACATTAGCATCAGTATATATTTCATAATTTACTATGTTTCACCTAAAATGAGATGCATTTTTAAAAAGCAGTTCAAGGTCAACATATGAATATATACACACATATGTAATATTAAGAGTTCATTTCATCAAGAGGGAGAGTGGATTTTAATGTAACCGGGATGCAAGCCCTTCTGTTAGGAGCCTGCAATCCCCACAGTGGGGTGCCAAGGCCCAGTTGCTCTCCCAGCCTGGGAGGCCCTCCCTGACAGGTCCTCTCTGCATGAAAATAGAACCCCTACTTCCCAGAGAACATGCTTTCTTCTTTCCAAGTAGAGAGTAGGAAAGTGTGAGGAGGGGGCACACCAGTTGACTATGAAGAGCACTACACTGTGCTTCGAGGCAGGAGCCTGCCCTCAGGCTCTGGCCCCAGCCCTCCTAGGTGTCTGGCCCCAGTCCTCCTAGGACTAGTCAGTTCCTGGTCTGGTCCTCAGTTTCTTCACCCATAGAGTAGGGCTAAGAGGCCTGCCCTGCCTCCATTGTAGAGTGCTTGTAAGACTCAAATGAGAGAAGCGTTAGTTTTTTAAGGAAGCTTGTAAGTGTTAAGTGCTAAGCCGCTGTAAGCTGCTGATACTGACCTGTTGTGGCTGGAGAGATGGGAGTTGAGACTGGAGGCTCAGGATGGTGAAGACAGGAAGAGGCCACAGGAGTCGGATGTCAGGCCCTGTGTATAATAATCTAGGGGCCTTTGGCCCTTCTCGACTATCCCATTGCACTATTTCATCTACTGATTGAATATCTTCCCCATAATTTCATTCACCAAACAGTGAGCCTATCAAAAGAGTCAGGACCCTTTGGTCAGAAAGGGGCAGAAATCCAGCTCAGCTTCGGCAAAAGGGACTCATTAGAAGACGCCCAGTTAGGTCTCAGAACTGAAGGAACCGCTGAGGAACCGGGCAGTTCTGGGACCTCAGGGGCTGGGAGTGGGGACTGAAGGTAGCCCAGTGCTCTCTGTGCACCTCTCATTCCTGCTGGTCTCCATCAGGCTTCGTTCCTCCTGCTGCAGACAGGTCTTTTCCACGGAAGGGAAACTGCTGTCAGCAGCAGGGATCCGAATCCTTCAAGGACAGATGTCCTCTGTCTACCTCCAAGGACTCTGATTGGCTTGCATCAGGTGGCGTCCTAAACCAATCACTCTGACTGACACAGGACACTTCTATTGGCCAGAATCTATTATCACAAGGGGGTGGGGCAGCCCCAAAACACCAGCTACCTCGCCTAAAGCAGACCTGACGTTGGCTAGGAAGTAGAAACCAAAATGAGTAGGAAACAGTCCCCACACCCCAAGGAGCTCATGGTCCAGTGTGGGTGTAAGGAGAGAGTAGTCAATCAGATCATTGATGTGACACAGGTTCTGGGGCTCTGATAAAGGGAGGAGTTGTTTGGGGGTGGGAGTGGGGGACAAGAAAGGCTGAAAGGCTTCAGAGAGGAAGTGGTGCTTGATCTCAAACTCAAAAAGACCCCTGCTCCCCTAGCTGAGAAAGTGGAAAAGGCATTCCAAGCAGAGGGAACAGCATGAGCAAAGGCTGGGCAGCATGAACTCACCTGAAGTATTCCAGATGCAAAGGGGAGTTTATTTCAAACAGAGCATCCAGCCACGGAGTACCTTCTGTATTGAGTTGAGAAAGCTGGACTGTACCCAGTGAGCCACCCAAGGGCTCGCACAGAGGCCTGCCATGGCAGTTGTGGGAAGTCTAGATGTGAGAGGACCGACTACCCTGGATGACACCCCAGGAGCTGGACAGTTGAAGCTGTGATCCAGGCAGACAATGAAGCCTCTACAGCTAAGATGCTGAACAACAGCTCAACCTGGAGCTGGGCTGCTGTGTGTAGCCAGCAGCCAGCGTGAGTGGCCAGCAGCCGCAGTGAGCGGCCGTCCAGAAGCCGGCGACTGATCTGCCTCGCCCGGGAAGAGCGCAATGATGGTGCCAACTTGGGCCAGTGAAGCAACGTCCTCCACAACTAGACTGAAGAACAAAAAGACAGCAACTTGTCTGTTCCCCTTCCCCCATTTCCTCAATAAAAATCTTTAAAAAAAAAAAAAAACCACTACGGTGTGTCCTCATCCACCTTATTCACTGGATCTGGCACCATAAGACTTCTGGCTCTTCCCGAAAGTCAAAATGATTCAGGACATCAAGGCAGCCACGACAGCGCAACTAAAGACACTCGAGGACTTCCAGAACTGCTTCAGAAAGTGGCAAGAACGATGAGATAAGTGTGTTCGAAGCAAGGGGGAGTATTTTGAGGGGGCTAATGGTAATGTGTCTTTTACTGTAATAAATTTTTTTTAAAGATTTTATTGGGGAATTGGGGGAGTGGAACAGCGTTGAGGGATCGGGGAAAGGGAACAGACAAGTTGCTGTCCTTTTGTTCTTCAGTCTAGTTGGGGAGGACATCGCTTCACTGGCCCATGTTGGTATCATCATTGCGCTCTTCCTGGGTGACGCAGTCGCTTGCCAGCCATTGGATGGCCTCTCACGACAGCTCACGGCAGCTCACGAAAGCTCATACCCACTGCCGCTCAGCCCCACTGCAGCCTACCCTGTTGCTGGAGACTCACAGCAGCCCAGCTCCAGGTCGAGCTGTTGTTCACCATCTTAGCTGTAAAGGTTGCAACGTCACTGGCCCTCATGTGGGACCCGAACCGGGGCCCTGCAGCTCAGAGCTGGCGTCCCAAGCCAACTCTTAACCAACATGCCACTCGGCCGGCCCAGTTTTTTTTTTAATTTAAACATTCACCGTATTTTTTATCACACCTCATCATATCCTTTTATGTGTATTTTGTTTTATATTTTATTAGTTTTTAATAATAGATCTTAAAAAAAAACATTTGGAGCTAAAATCTTCCTTAGAAGAATCCTCTGTGTCGGATAATAATTTGTTTACCAAAAATATTTCTGTAATATCTCTTTTTGAAAAATCAAGAAGTTAAGTGGGGAGTGGCTCAGTTGGTTAAGAGTGCGAGCTCTAAGCAACAGGGTCACCAGTTCAATTCCCATATGGGCCAGTGAGCTGTGCCCGAGCTGAGCTGCCACTGAGCTGCCTACAGGCTGCAGGATTGCTCAGTGGTTAGAGCGTGTGCTCTTAGCAACAAGGTTTCCGGTTAGACTCCCACATGGGATGGTGGGCTATGCCCACCTGCAACTAAAATTGAACACGGCACCTTAAGCTGAGCGGCTGAGAGCTGCTGCCAGGTGGCCGGATGGCGACTGAGCTTGGAGCTGAGCTAGCTGAACCCTCCACAACCAAGATTGAAGGACAACAACTTGGCTGTTCCTCTTCCCCAACTCCCCAACACTGTTCCCCTTTCCCAATTCCCCCCCCCTCAAAAAAAGAAGTTATTAAGTGAAAACAATCAACTCTGAGCTTATTATGAGATTAATGGTTTCAACATTTGCCTTTCAAATGACATCAGATTTGGTGCTATGGAGGTTTCTGTAAACATCACAAGATGATAGCGGGTTTTTTTTATAGTAGCCATGCATGTGGAGTCCATGGAGGGATGCTTTGCCCCTTCCTTTCAAAGAAGTGGCTCTGGGCTCCGGGACCCACCCCATTTTATGTCCTGCAGTGTCCTGCTCAGAGGCGGACTGCAGGCTCCAAACAGCAGCAAGAGCAATAAGGACCAGACCTTGGGCAGAAATGCCAGGTCCTGAGACAGTGAGGCATTAGGCAGTGCAGCTGGGGCCACCCCACTTCAGTGAATGCCCACCTGGCCCCAGCCGAGGTTACCCAACATATGGCCTCGCAGGAGGAAGGAAAGGCATCACCTACCAGGATAGTGAGGGCTGACGGTGCTGTGAGTAATGCCTGGAGAGCCGGCTCCAGGGTAACACCTGCCAGTCGCCTGGGGCTTTCCTGCCGAGCTGTGTCCTGCTCTCTTGGGTATGGCCCTCATGTTGTCTTGAGATACATCTGAGACTGAGGAGAACACAGAAATGCTTCAGGCCAGGACTTTGGAGGGAGCCCAGGTGTGGAGCTAGCAGGAACAGGGCTGGTCTGCTGTCTCTGTCCTCTTCTCTTGCCCAGAAGGCCAGACCCCACCTGTCCTTCCATCCAGCTCCAAACACCACCACTGCCACCTTGCCCTTCACATGTCCCATGGAGATAGGGAAGGGTCTCACTCGAAGATATCATCTCAGGGCCAGCTTAGTGGCGTGTTGGTTAAGAGTTGGCTTGGGACGCCAGAAGGCCCCGGTTCGGATCCCAGATGAGGGCCAGTGACACTGTGTTCTCTACAGCTAAGATGGTGAACAACAGCTCAACCTGGAGCTGGGCTACCCTGAGTCACCAGCAACGGCGTAGGCTGCAGTGGGGCTGGCCTGCAGCTAGCGAGCGCTTTCGAGAGCTGCCGTGAGCCACTGTGAGTGGCCGTCCAATGGCCGGTGAGCGACTGCCTCACCCGGGAAGAGCACAATGATAATACCAACATGGGCCAGTGAAGCGATGTCCTCCACAACCACAACTAGACTGAAGAACAAAAGGACAGCAACTTGTCTGTTCCCATTCCCCAATTCCCCAATAAAATCTTTAAAAAAAAAGATATCATCTCAGGTTAGCACTCAAGAAGCAGGTGTTCAGATATCCTCTCCCCAGCCTAGGACCCCTGTCCTTAATGCTTTCATTCTTCACATTACCCCCTCCAGTACTCTTCAAATATTATCAATATTATTCAAATATTATTTCAGAGAAAGCCCCCCAACAACCTGAATAGGAAGATGATAGTATCCCATTTTACAGATAAGGAAACTGAAGCTCAGACAGGTTAAGTAACTTGGCCAAAAGTCACACAGCAAGTCACTAACAAAGCCAGAAATGCGAAGTCATCTGACACCATAAGAGCACCCCCTCCACACACACAGCCACACCCTCCTAGGGGCCATTAGTCAGAAAGCACCAGTTGGTTATTCCTCAATTCTAAACACAGTCTGTGAATTTGCATTTGATTTGCATAAGGGTGTCACAAACACATAGATATCTTCCCTACACTGCCTTCTTTCTCTCTCCCTGTCTTTCACACACACACACACACACACACACACACACACACACACACACA